CTTTAAATTTTCCCTATGCCCTTCTGTAATTAGTGGGCAATTCTGGATGGTTCAGTCTCCACGGAAGTCGTACCCCGTTTTGTCAGATTCAAATTTTAATCTTCAGGTATTGCCTGAGTAAAGAATCGTCGGATTTTTCATTTACATTTATTCCCCAAGCTGTTAATTTTCCCCCAAATTTTTGCACTGGCTAACACCATCCCCCTATGGAAGAATTTTACTGGGGTAAAATTCATGATAAAGACCACAGTTATGGTATTTGATTTCTCTAGTCTGAATTATTATTACGAGGAATCCTACCTAATTTCATGGCCCCCTGCGTCTTCAAAAAAGGGGACACCACATTTGTTTCCCTACCCTTTTCAAAGGGGGGCTAATATCCTACCCATCAAAATATTTATTAGGCCTACGAATTACTTCCCCTGAAGGCGCTAAATTTACATTATGCGAAAATCTTTCTGTGCTTTACTAAGCCCTTTCTGTGTTATTTTTTCCCCGGGAAATTTTTATCTACAATTACTGCATTAACACGTTTTTTCTCATTGCCCAATCTGACAGTTACATAAACAGTGTCATACAATTGAGACCTTTTATCCGAGAGAAAACCAGATAATTTTAAAGTTGTGGGATCTCCCATCTGTACTTTCATACCATCAAGACATTTGCGTTTTATGAAAGTTGCTCTGGACCTATTAATTACCAATGAAATATGTATAACCAGGAATACTGGTAAATATATAAATTTTGTGGACTGTATATTAAAAATAATAAATGGTTATATATATACACAATTACATAACAGAAGGAAAATATATCTTAATATCACTCACCAATTTGACTGGAGATTAATGTGTATCATACTCAGAAAACCTCACTCTAACTAAATCTATGAAAATAATGCTGGCCAGAATTACACACAAATCTAGAGAGCTTATCTGAGGTTCCTGGAGAGGTCTTGTCCAGTCGCCTGATATCTCAAATTATGCAGGAATGCATATCCACCAATTTCACCTCCTATTTGAGAGGTGTCAACACAATTTTAACCTCTAGAGCATGAAAATTTCTACCCATTACACCAACGTTCTAATACAAATTCAAAACCAAGATGGCGAGTCTCCTGTCTGCCCAAGCGCAGGTTCAGTTTCCCATTTTCGATAACATACTTCTTTTAAAAATACAATATAGGGCATCTATTTACCTATAAATTACCGTATTTCCGGAAAATATACAGTATTTTCCACAGTAGTAGTAGACGGGAAGCAGAGTTTGATACTGCGTAAGCTGTCAGTAACCTTTACATACCCAACAAGAACAAGACGAAGCAGGTTTAACATTAGGACGATTTTTGCTCATTTATAGAGAAGATAAAGTTGCTACATCATGGTTGATCAGAGTAAAGGTGAGCATCGCTGCTAAATGATATTTATGAGGGAGATATTGTAATGGTTATGATGCTTTCTGAGGTTCCCTCTGGTATGAAGTTCCAGCATGTGTGGGGTTTCTTACCTTCTATGGTCTGAGGTTATCCTCAATATCCTGAGGTTGTCTCCTCTGGTCTGAGGTTTTCTATGGTCTGAGATTGTGTTTTTATGGGCAAAGGTTGTCTGCTGTGGTCTGAGGTTGTCTTTTATGGTCTGAGGTTGTCCCCTAAGGTTTGAAATAGTCTCCTCAAGTCTGGAGATGTTCTCTCTGGTCGTTGATGCCATCTGGTTCATGGTTGTTCCGGTCTGGGGTTGTTCCTTATGTGTTGGTGTTGTACCCTTCACTCTAGAGTTGTTCTTTGTGGTCTGGAGTTTTCCTTCTTGGGCTGGGAATGTTCACTCTGGTCTGAGGGTGTTCACTCTGGCCAGAGGGTGTTCACTCTGGTCAGTGGTTGCTCACTCTGGTCAGAGGGTGTTCACTCTGGTCAGTGGTTGCTCACTCTGGTCAGAGGGTGTTCACTCTGGTCAGAGAGTGTTCACTCTGGTCAGAGGGTGTTCACTCTGGTCAGAGGGTGTTCACTCTGGTCAGAGGGTGTTCACTCTGGTCAGAGGGTGTTCACTCTGGTTGGAGGGTGTTCACTCTGGTCAGAGGGTGTTCACTCTGGTTGGAGGGTGTTCACTCTGGTCAGAGGGTGTTCACTCTGGTCGGAGGGTGTTCACTCTAGTCGGAGGGTGTTCACTCTGGTCAGAGGGTGTTCACTCTGGTCAGAGGGTGTTCACTCTGGTCAGAGGGTGTTCACTCTGGTTGGAGGGTGTTCACTCTGGTCAGAGGGTGTTCACTCTGGTCGGAGGGTGTTCACTCTGGTTGGAGGGTGTTCACTCTGGTCAGAGGGTGTTCACTCTGGTCAGAGGGTGTTCACTCTGGTTGGAGGGTGTTCACTCTGGTCAGAGGGTGTTCACTCTGGTCAGAGGGTGTTCACTCTGGTTGGAGGGTGTTCACTCTGGTCAGAGGGTGTTCACTCTGGTCAGAGGGTGTTCACTCTGGTCAGAGGGTGTTCACTCTGATCTGAAGGTGTTAGCTCTGGTTGGAGAAACTTTGATGTAAGTGGACTTGCCCCATACTTCAGAAGACTATATCTGTGGACACAATGCAGAATTACAGACTTCTGTCCATTTTCTCTGATAATTGGAGTGCCCAGACAGTTTTTTTTTGTCAGAAATTGCCAAATTCCATTGAGAAGTTTCACTGTACTGTATGTATGATGTTGGGAAATCTGTTTTTCACATCTCATGATATAAAACCAGCAGCCTACTGTATTAGTTTAAATTGAACACTTCATAACTACAGCCTTGGCTTCAGAGCTCTAACAGCTAAGTTATTTTACATCCAGCTATTTATATTTGGTCACATTTAACTGCATTTGCCACTTTAATCACAACACTGACCAGTTCAGAGTATCCTGAGGTCCTCTAATGTTCTTGGAACTTATTTACTGCCATATATTTGTATCATTATCAGCTTACTTGTTTCACTACTTATTCCGTCATCAAGATTGTTTATACTGTATACCGGCATAATTATTATGGATTTTTTTGAGAATTCGATATTTTTCTACTAAAACGTCAATTAAACCACTTTTACTGACTGCTAGTGGATTTATTTTTATACACTAGTACAGGTCAACTATATTACATTCATTAATATTTGGTTTAAACACCTCTAGCATTCATAAGTGGTTTTTACAGTGCCAATGATCAAAGTTTTTCATAATTCCTTTGATTCTGGCAGAATGAAACCAAACCTTAATAAGACATTCTGTAAGTTGCACTTTGGTCGTAAAGGGAACTTCATGTATTTTATCCTTCATTACAGACCAACCATAAACTCTCAGTAGGGTTTGTGTTGGGAGTTTCCAGCCCATGGGTGCAGCTCAACGCCATTTTGTGCACACCACATCTTTACTGATTTTGCCATGTAACATAAGGCTGAGTGTTGTTGGAATATCCAACATCCATCACCATACCAATTCCTTATTTGAGGCAGTAATTGATGTTGTAATACAGAACATATCCCCCTGTATCCATGGGGATATGTTCCAAGACCTACTGTGGATACCTGAAACCATGAATTGTAGCAAACCCTATATACATGTCATTTTTTGTTTATATGCCTACCTGTGATAAAGTTTAATTGATAAATTACACACAAAAAGTGGAGAATTAGCACCTTTTCACTGGCAGGACTTTTTTTAGACTGTGACCATCACTACTTTTGTGCTTTGGTGCCATTATTAAGCAAAATTAAGGGCTATTTTCGAGCCACGGTAAACCGTGGATAAACCATGGAAACAATCTGCAGATATGGGGTTTCTACTTTACTTCTATATACTTAACCTGGTTCATGGTACCCTCAACAGTGTGCAAACGACTTGTTCCATGAACAGACATGGCTCCCCACACCATGATCTTCTGAGGAAATTTGACCATCTTCAGACATTCAGGCATAAATTCCTCACCTGACCACCTTCTTACAGTCAGCACACAGTCATCCAGCACTGCAATGGTTGATGTTCATTAGATAACACCACCTGCAACAATAGAAAAGATAATAGAAGTGGCAGAATAACCAGAGAAGCTGAACAGTAATCTTAATTTTTTCAAATAGAATTGTCGTTTTACTAATAATTAATGTTCTTTTATGAACAACAAATGAGCTGAATAGCTAAATGTAATTCTTACCTGCTCCCATTGTTCAGAAGTCCATTCAGTGTGATTCTTAGTCCAGGCTAAACGCTTCCGTATCATGGGTTCAGTAAGTCGCAGCTTCTTTCTGGGATGATATGCTTACAATCCACTCTCCAAAAGCCTCATTAACTGTCCTTTTTGCAAGGCTAACACCTGCTGCTGCTAGGTCAGAGGAAATCTGCCTGCAAGATGCTTTTCTGTTGTTAAAAGCCATTCGTATTGTTTTTGTATAATCTCGTTGTTTCCCTTTTCTACCACATCTTCCCACCCATTTTGAGTTTAAATCTTGATTATAATTCAATTTCTTCTTAATTTTACTGATTGTTTGAGTTGAAACACCAAGTTTTATTGCTGTTTCTTTCTGTTTCAGTTTGCTATCACTTAATAAACTGCTTATCTGTTTCACTTTGCAAGGACTTAAATTGCTATTTTTACCCTTTTCTGCTGACTTCCTTTCTTATCATTAAGCTGCAAAGAAAAAACAAAAGGTACTTTTAGTAGAAAGCACAGGTACAGAAAATACACTTAATGGAATTATTACAGTCAATAAGAAGCAGAAAATGCCCTTGTGCACTCAACAGGACAGCAAGGTATTATGCCAAACTTGATGGCTGGCATGGTGCCCACACATGTTAAAGCATTTACAGATGAATGGAGGGGTGGTCAAACAAATATTAATCACTGTAAAATAGCTGACCTGTATTGATATATAAAAGTAAATCTATTAGCAGTCAGTGAAATTGGTTTATTTAACCTCTTAGTAAAAAAATATAAAATTTTCAAAAAACCCATAATAATTATTCCAGTATGTACTGTATTATGTAGATTATGACCAAGTGATCCCATACTGACTAGTGGAATGCTGTTTATGACTGGTCCCCATATTGATTCCTCTCTATGCAAATTCACTTACAGCCTGGTTGACCAGGCAAGCACCAGATGAGCCTGGCCCATGGCCAGGCTCTGAGAGTAGTTAAACTCTCAAAACTCTTCAAAGGTAAGGTATACATGTCAGTCAACTGTTCTTCAGAACCCTTGACTCTGTGCCAGCAGTCTCTTATATAAAGAACATTGTCTTTACATTGTCTACAACTTCAAATAACTTGATAAAAAAAAAGTCAGAATTTTTTGTAGGGGAAGAATGATACCTGGTGGACCTGAGTTTAGAATCACTGATCAAATTCTGTTCATTAAAATGACTTAAAACTGATTTATTATTATTGATCCCAGTTCAACTATTTACTCCACTACTGAGGTTAGAATGACAGGGCAACAATAAAATTTATTAGTCAGGTTGCAGATTTAATTTTTTAAATCTTTATTTGAGGTATCATACACCTATCACTTTCAGTAGCATAACACTGATAGATTGATAGACAGGAGAGGCTTACAATATAATTTAGAGAATTAATAGCTTGATACACTATATAAGTTAATACTGTGTATTGTTGTGTATAGATATAAATAATGCAGGCAGTCATGAGTAAAATAACTACATTATAAATAAATAAATAAATAAATAGTTTATTTCTTTGCAAAGGTTACAATGTGTAATTACAATTTTGATTTGCTAAGTACAAAGATAGCCACTGTCATGCCGAGACATTTTGGTAAATAATTATTATGTAAAAATACCTGGAGTATACCTGGAGGGTCTTCTGGGTGTCAGGCCCTTCAGTTAAATATTTATGTATTTTTTGTATTATGCTCTCATAAAATAGGTTCAGTATTTATTAGGTATGTATCACCAGCAGACAATCCACTCCATATATCATGGCATGACAGCATGTGGGTACCACATCTCAACTCGACAAACATCATGGATTACTTCAGTGAGCGGACAAACCCCTTCTACTCAAGAGACTGCAACAATGAGTTTATCAAGATGCAGCAGAACACAAGGGTCGACCAGCTTACGTGAGTTTCTGGGGCTGTTTGTCTTACTTCCAGAATACATTACAATAAGTGTGATAGTGTATGCTTGGTGGACATCTGTTTGTCTAGATGGGTATTTTTATGATTATTGTCCACATTCATTGTTATTACATATAGTATTAGTACCTCCTTGCATAAGATGAGGAGGCATTCACTGCGAAAAAAAATTATTAATGACAATCAGAATAACAGCTGGCCTTTCATATTACCTTTCACACTCTTTAAAATCATGTGATTACCTATTTTTTATGATTACATTACCTGTTTGTTGTTTCTGTAGCAAAGTTCTGTTTGTATAGTCAGCTCTTTAGTATTTAGCTTGTCATTAATCTGTAATTTTTTTAAGCTTTCAGTAGTTGTAGTACATCCCATCTCCTCTTGGATCCTGTCTCAACAGTTTGAGGAATTAATTTTTCATGTGCTTTCAACTCATTTTTTTTCTTAGTTTATATTTGAAACCTATTGCTCTCATGTTGATATTGCTGATAAATATTCCTTTCCTGTTTATAATATTCTTTTATAACTTTATATGTATTTAACAAATCTGTCTGCCACTGAGATTTTTTATTCTTTCCATCCCTTTTTGAGTTCATATTTCTTAACTGCCTGGATAGTAGGTTGGTAGACAGCAACCGCCCAGGGAGGTACTACCGTCCTGCCAAGTGAGTGTAAAACGAAAGCCTGTAATTGTTTTACATGATGGTAGGATTGCTGGTGTCCTTTTTTCTGTCTCATAAACATGCAAGATTTCAGGTACGTCTTGCTACTTCTATTTACACTTAGGTCACACTACACATGCATGTACAAGCATATATATGTATATATACACATCCCTCTGGGTTTTCTTCTATTTTCTTTCTAGTTCTTGTTGTTTATTTCCTCTTATCTCCATGGGGAAGTGGAACAGAATTCTTCCTCCATAAGCCATGCGTGTTGTAAGAGGCGACTAAAATGCCGGGAGCAAGGGGCTAGTAACCCCTTCTCCCATATAAATTACTAAATTTAAAAAGAGAAACTTTAGTTTTTCTTTTTGGGCCACCCTGCTTTGGTGGGATACGGCCGGTTTGTTGAAAAAAAAAAAAAAAATTCTTAACTGCCTAGATAGTAGGTTGGTAGACAGCAGCTGCCCAGAGAGGTACAACCGTCATGCTAAGTGAGTGTAAAACGGAAGCCTGTAATTGTTTTATATGATGGTAGGATTGCTGGTGTCTTTTTTCTGTCTCATAAACATTCAAGATTTCAGGTACGTCTTGCTACTTACTCACACTACACATGTATGTACATGCATTTGTATACACACCTATCTGGGCTTTCTTCTATTTTCCTACTAGTTCTTGTTTATTTCCTCTTATCTCTATGAAGAAGTGGAACAGAATGCTTCCTCCATAAGCCATGCATGTCGTAAGAGGTGACTAACATGTCGGGAGCAAGGGGCTAGTAACCCCTTCTCATGTATAAATTACTAAAGTTAAAAAGAGAGACTTTTGTTTTTGTTTTTGGGCCACCCTCCCTCGGTGGGATACAGCCAGTTTATTGAAAGAAGATTTCCTAACTGAGCCATTTTGTAGCATTTCTAGACATTTTCAGTTTAACCCATAAAAAAGTGAGGATGCTCAAGTACTGGATCAGGAAAAAATTTAACATTTCAGAAATTAAATTTTACTCAATGTGAAATACACTGCATCTTTATCTTACCCCAACAGCCACATGCAGGGAGTCGAGTACATGCTGCTTCACACTCAAGAACCCATTCTCTACATCATTCGGAAACAGCAGCGCTTTTCTCCAACTCAGGTTAATCCTCTTGCCAACTATCACATTATCGGTGGACAAGTGTTTCAGACACCTGATTTAGGATCTGTTATCAACTCCAGAACGGTGAGATTACATCTGTAATTACAGCCTCTCCTCACTTAACAATGGTGTTCCGTTCCTGAGACCACGTTGTTAAATGAAATCGTCACTAAGTGAGGAGCATACTATAATGGTAGTGAGTTTGTGTCACCCATCTTTGATATTGTTTTAATGTCATCTTTGCACCATTTCTGGTATGTTTTTAAATGTTTATGTAGTAGTGTACTGTATATTGAAATAAACAGAATAGAGGAAATCAGCTCTAATGAACATTACGTATTTAGGTATGAATACGGGTCAGAGAGCCCGTTGTAAGTCCAAGGCATTGGTAAATGAGTACATCGCTAAGTGAGGAGAGGCTGTATCTATCTGTAACTAGTACCTACTTGTAGCTACAAGAGCAGAGTTATACTTAGTAATTTTTTTTAACACACCATTTGTATCCCACTGAGGCAAGATGATCTAAAAAGTAAAATGAAAGTTTTCCTTTTTAAATTTAGTGCCTTGGTGGGGGACGGCCGACTTGTTAAAAAAAAATTTAAAAATATCCTATGGTTATAGCACTTATAAGAGCGACCATCACTAATCCAGTATCATTGGGACCTGTAGCGTGCTGGATTAGTGATTTTGCCGGATCACAGAGTGGTTAGGTTAGAATACACTTAACCCAACAGATCCTTCACAGCAGGATTAGTCAGAAATTAGTGCCGGATTAGTGATGGAACCAGATTTGCGATTACTGGATTGGTGATGGCTGACCTGTATCTCCTTTTGATTCATTCCATTCTTCCACCACTCTATAAAGAAAAAATCTATGGCATCTCATAAATGTTAAAGGTACTAAGAGATCTTTATCCAAACATTCAGACAAACTTAATTGAAATACAGTGGACCCCCGGTTAACGAACTTTTTTCATTCCAGTAGTATGTTCAGGTGCCAGTACTGACGGAATTTTTTCCCATAAGGAATATTGTGAAGTAGATTAGTCCATTTCAGACCCCCAAACATACACGTACAAACGCACTTACATAAATACACTTACATAATTGGCCGCATTTGGAGGTGATCGTTAAGCGGGGTCCACTGTAATTATTTTTTCTCAAATTTATTACCAAATGCATTATTACTTTTTAGTTTCAATACTTCATAATTTTCACATTTTTTTGTTGCCCTATTTGAAGTTTATCTTACTCTGTTCCATTATTTCATTTTTGTCATTTTTTCTTGGGCAGTTGGCTGCTGTGAGTAACCTGACCAGTGCCTTCACTGAACTTCAGTCCTTCTCCCACTACCATTTGTCGCGAGGCTACTGGTGGCAGTTTCGAAACCAGATGGAACAAACTGAGCAACAGAAGAGGGATAAAGAGAAGAAGGTAACGCTGAGAATAACATCCTGGGATGCATGATTTTTTATTCTGTTAATTATTATTATTGTTATTATTATAGCTGAGTTTATACTGGAAAGTAGCGAGAGAGTGACCACTGTCTAAGAAACCATGGGACGGGTGGGGTTTGAACCCAATACCTGGAGAGGGTTTCAGGGGTCAATGCCCCCATGGTCTGGTCTGAGACCAGGCCTCATGGTGGACCAGGGTCTAATCAACCAGGGTCTAATAAACCAACGTATGAACCAAAGCCTGGCTGATCAGGTACTGATTTTAGGTGCCTGTCCAGCGCTTTCTTGAAGACAGCCAGGGGTCTGTTGGTAATCCTCCTCATGTATGCTGGGAGGCAGTTGAAGGGGGCAGTTAGTGTACAGCAATATTCCAACTTAGAGAGGACAAGCGATTTGAAGAGGATCATCATGGGCTTGGCGTCCCTAGTTTTGAAGGTTCTCATTATCTATCGTATCATTTTTATAGCAGATGAGGTAGATACATTGTTGTGGTCTTTGAAGTTGAGATCCTCATACATTATCACTCCCAGGTCCTTCACATTAGTTTTTTGCTCACTTGTTTGGTTAGAATTTGTTTTATACCTTGATACAGCTTTAGTTTCCTCAAGTTTTCCATATCTGAGTAGTTGAAATTTCTCTTTATTGAACTCCCTATTGTTTTCTGCGGCCCATTTAAAGATTTGGTTGATGTCCACTTGGAGTCTTGCATTGTCTTCAGTGGAGGACACTGTCATGGCAATTCAGGTGTCATCCACAAAGAAAAACATGGAGCTATGACTTACATCTCTGTAAGGTGAGTCGTAAAATTCCAGGCCAGTGTGTATAAATGGTGTATAAATATACCTAGTTGGATAAATCTTATTGTAGCCAGCTGGCACAGTGGCTTATGCGCTGGTCTGGAGTTTTCAACTCACTTGCTGTGAGTTCAAACCCCCACTTGTACTGTGGTTTGTTTGCAATCATATTACAGTGGACCCTCAACCAACGTTGGCATCGTCTAACGTTAAATCCGACTAGCGATACATTTTAACGCAAAAATTTTGCCTCGACTGGCGCTAAAAAACCCGACCAACGCTATTCGTTCCATTCGAGACGCGTCCACTTGTGGCCTTAGCGCGCCTCACTTGTCCCGTGGGTGCCAGTGTTTACAAGCCAGCCAGCCACCGCGGTCCCATCCAAACGTACAATCGGAACATTTCATATTATCACAGCGTTTGTAGTGATTGCGCCTGCAAAATAAGTCACCATGGGCCCCAAGAAAGCTTCTAGTGCCAACCCTACAGCAAAAAGGGTGAGAATTATTATGGATATGAAGAAAGAGATCATTGCTAAGTATGAAAGTGGAGTGTGTGTCTCTGAGCTGGCCAGGTTGTACACAAAACCCCAATCAACCTTCGCTACTATTGTGGGCAAGAAAACGGCAATCAAGGAAGCTGTTCTTGCTAAAGGTGCAACTATGTTTTCGAAACTGAGATTGCAAGTGATAGAAGATGTTAAGAGACTGTTATTGGTGTGGATAAACGAAAAACAGATAGCAGGAGATAGCATCTCTCAAGCGATCATATGTGAAAAGGCTAGGAAGTTGCATGACGATTTAATTAAAAAAATGCCAGCAACTAGTGGTGATGTGAGTGAATTTAAGGCCAGCAAAGGTTGGTTTGAGAGATTTAAGAATCGTAGTGGCATACATAGTGTGATAAGGCATGGTGAGGCTGCCAGTTCGGACCACAAAGCGGCTGAAAAATTATTTTTATTTTTTTTTATTATCACACTGGCCGATTCCCACCAAGGCAGGGTGGCCCGAAAAAGAAAAACTTTCACCATCATTCACTCCATCACTGTCTTGCCAGAAGGGTGCTTTACACTACAGTTTTTAAACTGCAACATTAACACCCCTCCTTCAGAGTGCAGGCACTGTACTTCCCATCTCCAGGACTCAAGTCCGGCCTGCCGGTTTCCCTGAACCCCTTCATAAATGTTACTTTGCTCACACTCCAACAGTACGTCAAGTATTAAAAACCATTTGTCTCCATTCACTCCTATCAAAAACGCTCACGCATGCCTGCTGGATGTCCAAGCCCCTCGCACACAAAACCTCCTTTACCCCCTCCCTCCAACCTTTCCTAGGCCGACCCCTACCCCGCCTTCCTTCCACTACAGACTGATACACTCTTGAAGTTATTCTGTTTCGCTCCATTCTCTCCACATGTCCGAACCACCTCAACAACCCTTCCTCAGCCCTCTGGACAACAGTTTTGGTAATCCCGCACCTCCTCCTAACTTCCAAACTACGAATTCTCTGCATTATATTCACACCACACATTGCTCTCAGACATGACATCTCCACTGCCTCCAGCCTTCTCCTCGCTGCAACATTCATCACCCATGCTTCACACCCATATAAGAGCGTTGGTAAAACTATACTCTCATACATTCCCCTCTTTGCCTCCAAGGACAAAGTTCTTTGTCTCCACAGACTCCTAAGTGCACCACTCACCCTTTTCCCCTCATCAATTCTATGATTCACCTCATCTTTCATAGACCCATCTGCAGACATGTCCACTCCCAAATATCTGAATACATTCACCTCCTCCATACTCTCTCCCTCCAATCTGATATCCAATCTTTCATCATCTAATCTTTTTGTTATCCTCATAACCTTACTCTTTCCTGTATTCACTTTCAAGTTTCTTCTTTTACACACCCTACCAAATTCATCCACCAATCTCTGCAACTTCTCTTCAGAATCTCCCAAGAGCACAGTGTCATCAGCAAAGAGCAACTGTGAAAAATATGTGCAGGAATTCAAGAAGTACATAGACAGTGAAGGACTGAAACCTGAACAAGTGTTTAATTGTGACGAAACAGGCCTATTTTGGAAGAAAATGCCAAGCAGGACCTACATTACTCAGGAGGAAAAGGCACTCCCAGGACATAAGCCTATGAAAGACAGGCTTACTCTGTTGATGTGTGCCAATGCTAGTGGTGATTGCAAAGTGAAGCCTTTATTGGTGTATCACTCTGGAACTCCCAGAGTGTTCAGGAAAAACAGTGTCCTCAAGGCTAATTTGTGTGTGCTGTGGAGGGCAAACAGTAAGGCATGGGTCACTAGGGACTTTTTCTATGACTGGTTACACCATGCATTTGCCCCCACTGTGAAAAATTACCTCCTGGAAAATAAATTGGATATTAAGTGCCTCCTGGTATTAGACAATACTCCTGGTCATCCTTCAGACTTGGCAGAGCGACTGTCTGCGGACATGAGCTTCATTAAGGTCAAGTTTTTGCCTCCTAATACCACTCCTCTCCTGCAGCCCATGGACCAGCAGGTCATTGCAGACTTCAAGAAACTGTACACAAAAGCTCTGTTTGAAAGGTGCTTTGTAGTGACCTCAGAAACTCAATTGACTCTAAGAGATCACTTTAGCATCCTCAATTGTGTAAACATTATAGGTAAGGCTTGGGAGGAAGTGACTAAGCGGACCTTGAACTCTGCTTGGAAAAAACTGTGGCCAGAATGTGTAGACAAAAGGGATTTTGAAGGGTTTGAGGCTAACCCTGGGAATCCTATGCCAGTTGAGGAATCCATTGTGGCATTGGGGAAGTCCTTGGGGTTGGAGGTTAGTGTGGAGAATGTGGAGGAGGACAATGAAGAACTAACCACTGATGAGCTGCTAGATCATCTTCAACAGCCAGAGGCCTCACCTGAGGAAACTGCTTCGGAGGAGGGGATAGAGAAATTGAAGAAGTTGCCTACTTCAAAGATTAAGGAAATGTGTGCAATGTGGCTTAAAGTGCAAACCTTTTTTGGTGAAAATCACCCTGACACAGCTACTGCAAGCCGTGTTGGCAACCTGTACACTGACAATGTTGTGAAACACTTTAGGACTGTTCTAAAGGAATGGGAGATACAGGCCTCTATGGACAGATATGTTGTGCGACAGAAGTCCAGTGACTCTCAAGCTGGTCCTAGTGGCATGAAAGAAGAAGGGAAGTAACCCCGGAAAAGGACTTGCCACCTCAAGTCCTAATGGAAGGGGATTCCCCTTCTTAACACTAACACCATCAACACTCTCCCCTCCTCCCATCCCATCAATCATCACCAGATCTTCAATAAAGGTAAGTGTCATGTAACTGTGCATGTCTTCTTCAGTTTGTGTGTATTAAAATTAATATTTCATGTGGTAAAATATTTTTTTTTCAATACTTTGGGGTGTCAGGAACAGATTAATTTGATTTCCATTATTTCTTATGGGGAAAATTAATTCGACTAATGATAATTTCGATTAACGATGAGCTCTCAGGAATGGATTAATATCGTTGGTCGAGGGTCCACTGTATTATGATTTTGTGAGACAACTGTCTGAGGGAACGTGAAAAGTCCTCGCCAAGCAGTGCAACATCCCCTCCCCCTCCCTAATGAAAAGTAGGAGTTCTATGAGTACACTAAGATATAACACAGTGAGTGTCAGGGGCCCAAGACTCTTCAGTTGCCTCCCAGCATCCTTGCATCACCTGTTGGCACTGCAATACAATTTCATTTTACCCCCCATTGGCAGTTTAAGGGTTAAAGTGTGCTGGGTGCCTCCATTCAGCGTACTTTAACGATGAGCACTGTAGGCGTTTGATTTATTTACAATATTTGCTTCTCTGATCCTAAGCTATTATTCACTACATTTGTATATATATATTGTGTACTCTGTGTACATTCTAAGTATATAGGGGAGCACTACAGTGTTATGAATATCAACAGACATGAGCCTACAGGGAGACAAAACAGGAAAAACATGTTTTGTATATTTTATTTCAGTTTGAGGTCCTCATTGTATGCAATTCTATGTTACTCCATTTTCCCCACATACTAATATGTTTATATGTATCAGTTTTCAGCAGTTCTTCACTCTTCTCTAAAGTATCATCAGGCATATCCAACCTAGTCTCCATATTTGCTGCTGTATTTTCTAACTAATTTTGGAATCCTTCCAGGCTGGTCAGGGAAAACGGGAAGAACCAGCATCTATGTTCCAGCACCGTCGAGTAGGCTCTTTGCTAGAGGATCTTCAGGTCAAATTTCCTTACAAGTTCCCAACTCAGGCACAGCAGCCAGCACAGCAACAGCCACAGCAACAACCACAGCAGCAATCACAGCAGCAGCAACAACCACAGCAGTCCCAACAACAGACTCAGCAACAGGAGGGAATAAAGACAGGTATTTAAGTGTGCACAGTATTTTGATGTTAGGTTTTCTACATTTGAAATAGCTCTTGGCAATTTTTTTTTTCAACAAACTGGCTGTATCCTACTGAGGCAGGGTGACCTAAATTTAGTAATTTATACAGGAGAAGGGGTTACTAGCCCCTTACTCCCAGCATTATAGTAGCCTGTTACGACACACATGGCTTACAGAGTAAGATTCTGTTCCACTTCCCCATGGAGTTAAGAGGAAATAAAGAACAAGAACTATAAAGAAAATAGAAGAATACCCAGATGGGTATGTATATACAGTAGGGCCCTGCTTTATGGCGTTTCGCCTCATGGCGTTCCGCTAATACGGCGATCTCAAATTATGACCAAAACTTTCTATACGGCAAGTGGTCTTTCAAATACGGCGTGGGCCACCCGGTATGTTTACATTCTCCATGAGCACGTCTCTCTATTATGTAATAATAATCACTCTTGGGCACATTAAATGTCTAATTTTACATCAATATGGACATTTTCATTAATTCATCTATGATATTTTCTTCAAAATTATATAAGAAACACATTACATAGCATATAAAGATGCTGTTTATATGCTTTGGAGGTGTGGTTGCTGGGTGGAGGGAAAACATTACGTAATACTAATAATAATCACTCTTTGGCACATTAAATGTCTTATTTTACATTAATATAGACATTTTCATTAGTCCATCTATTATATTTTCTTCAAAATTATATAAGAAACACGTTACATAACATATAAACATTTTGTTTATATACTAAGGAGGTGTGGTAGCCGGGCGGAGGGAAAACATTACGTCACTTCCCTTAATACATAACGCTTTTGTTTACAATTCTTGGCAGGAATTATTCATTACTTTTCCCTTTGTTTATGATGGTATCTAAAGGTAGTTGTTAGAAACGATTAAACTCAGTGAACAAGGTATATCGATGGTAATATGGCTCTGGGCCAAATTAAATATCGTGTAGCTATGTAGGTAGGTGTAGGTATGTAGCCCAGGCGGACTACATACCTACATTATTATTATAACTGATAATTATATGTATGTTTACCTGTACCTAAGTAAACTTACACACTGTGATGGCATGCAGGTACACATTAACCCTTTCAGGGTTGGTGCCGTACTATTACGGCTTGCACGCCAGGGTTGGTGCCGTACTAGTACGCATGAATTCTAGCGCTTTCAAATCTAGCGAGAGAAAGCTGGTAGGCCTACATATGAAAGAATGGGTCTATGTGGTCAGTTTGCGCAGTATAAAAAAAATCCTGCAGCACACAGTGCATAATGAGAAAAAAAACTTTGTGTTTTTGGTTTAAAACAGCAAGTTTGCAGTGTATTTTCATATGCTATTTATTGTTGTATTCTAGTTTTCCTGGTCTCATTTTATAGAATGGAAGGCATATTACAGAAAATTGATGATTTTTATTGGTTTTACAATGAAAAGTACCTTGAAATTGAGCTCAAAGTAGCAGAAATGTTCGATTTTTGCCAAAGTTCAGAAGTAAATAAATCAAACCATAAGTCCAATATACGTCAACTGGTGAGTCTAATATTCTTTCACAAGTGTGTTGATATTATTTATACCATTTCTACACCATTTCTACACTAATGCAGTAGTCTGCATAACAGTAAATCTTCAATGTTTTATGAGAATAAAAATTCGAAGTGGAAAGCAAAAGAAATGTAACAGGCCTGGGGACATGAATAATGAACAGAGGAAATGTTATTTTAGTGCCAGGAATGTCTGTCTTGTTTATTCTGGACCCTGTTTGGAAATTGGCATCTTTTGAAATTTGTGTGAAATTGGCAAAATTGCCAATTTCGGACCACTTTATTGGATAGTTGAATTCGGTAAATGGGTGGTTTCTTGTACTCATTCGATAGAAAAAAATGGAGTTCTAGTGAAACAGTTATGATTTTTGTCAACTGGTACATTGGAATTGGCCGAAAATAGGGCTCAAAGTGGGTGAAATCACCAATGCGTAAACATTGTCGAGACCGCTAAAATCGCGAGAGCATAATTCTGTAAGTTTTCCATCAAATTTTATACTTTTGGTGACATTATGATTGGGAAAAGATTCTCTATCATTCATAAGAAAAAATAATTATTATTTTTTTTTTTCCAAAAATTTCTGACCCTGAGAACAAGTTTAGGAGAGGGCCTGCCAACCCTGAAAGGGTTAAAATCACTAAGAGTGTCTTATTAGTCTTGAAGATGTCATATTAATAATGATAATAATAGCAATAATAATCACTCTAAGGAGCATTAAATATCGTATAAAACGTTAATATAGACATTTTGCTTAATCCACCTAAACACAACGCACAGTAGAATAAATTAATATAAATATGAGATGTGGTAGCCAGGTGACTTGTAAGACTTGTGGTAGCCAGGCAACTTTTAGGACTTGTGGTAGCCAGGCAACTTGTAGGACTTGTGGTAGCCAGGCAACTTGTAGGACTTGTGGTAGCATTCGTCTGGTTTCTTTTCATTATATGTAGGTGGGGTTGGGAGGGCTGCCCTTCTTAGCTATCCATACTTCCCAACCTGACTCCATACAAATAAAACTCGCCTCTCACCCTACATTAAGACTACAAATATTTTAAGGTAATTAATGATTGTACTATACATGCATTTTATCGCTCTATGGAGCTTAATGTCGTAGTAGGTATAAGTGGCCAGGCAGGATGCCATACCTCCCACACGACTTTCTTCAAATAAATTCTTTTCACCTCTCACCCTACACTAAGACCATTAAGACTACAAATATTTTAAGGTAAGTAATGCGTGTACTGTATATGCATTTTATCGCTCTAGGGAGCTTTAAGCATTGTAGTATAGTATGTGTGGGTTGGATGGCCAGGAGGGCTACCACACCTGACTTCTTACCTGGAGTTTACCTGGAGAGAGTTTCGGGGGTCAACGCCCCAGCGGCCCGGTCTGTGACCAGGCCTCCTGGTGGATCAGCGCCTGATCAACCAGGCTGTTGCTGTTGGCTGCACGCAAACCAACGTACGAGCCACAGCCCGGCTGATCAGGAACTGACTTTAGGTGCTTGTCCAGTGCCAGCTTGAAGACTGCCAGGGGTCTGTTGGTAATCCCCCTTATGTGTGCTGGGAGGCAGTTGAACAGTCTCGGGCCCCTGACACTTATTGTATGGTCTCTTAACGTGCTAGTGACACCCCTGCTTTTCATTGGGGGGATGGTGCATCGTCTGCCAAGTCTTTTGCTTTCGTAGTGAGTGATTTTCGTGTGCAAGTTCGGTACTAGTCCCTCTAGGATTTTCCAGGTGTATATAATCATGTATCTCTCCCTCCTGCGTTCCAGGGAATACAGGTTTAGAAACCTCAAGCGCTCCCAGTAATTGAGGTGTTTTATCTCCGTTATGCGCGCCGTGAAAGTTCTCTGTACATTTTCTAGGTCGGCAATTTCACCTGCCTTGAAAGGTGCTGTTAGAGTGCAGCAATATTCCAGCCTAGATAGAACAAGTGACCTGAAGAGTGTCATCATGGGCTTGGCCTCCCTAGTTTTGAAGGTTCTCATTATCCATCCTGTCATTTTTCTAGCAGATGCGATTGATACAATGTTATGGTCCTTGAATGTGAGATCCTCCGACATAATCACTCCCAGGTCTTTGACGTTGGTGTTTTGCTCTATTTTGTGGCCAGAATTTGTTTTGTACTCTGTTGAAGATTTAATTTCCTCATGTTTACCATATCTGAGTAATTGAAATTTCTCATCGTTGAACTTCATATTGTTTTCTGCAGCCCACTGAAAGATTTGGTTGATGTCCGCCTGGAGCCTTGCAGTGTCTGCAATGGAAGACACTGTCATGCAGATTCGGGTGTCATCTGCAAAGGAAGACACGGTGCTGTGGCTGACATCCTTGTCTATGTCGGATATGAGGATGAGGAACAAGATGGGAGCTAGTACTGTGCCTTGTGGAACAGAGCTTTTCACCGTAGCTGCCTCGGACTTTACTCTGTTGACGACTACTCTCTGTGTTCTGTTAGTGAGGAAATTATAGATCCATCGACCGACTTTTCCTGTTATTCCTTTAGCGCGCATTTTGTGCGCTATTACGCCATGGTCACACTTGTCGAAGGCTTTTGCAAAGTCTGTATATATTACATCTGCATTCTTTTTGTCTTCTAGTGCATTTAGGACCTTGTCGTAGTGATCCAGTAGTTGAGACAGACAGGAGCGACCTGTTCTAAACCCATGTTGCCCTGGGTTGTGTAACTGATGGGTTTCTAGATGGGTGGTGATCTTGCTTCTTAGGACCCTTTCAAAGATTTTTATGATATGGGATGTTAGTGCTATTGGTCTGTAGTTCTTTGCTGTTGCTTTACTGCCCCCTTTGTGGAGTGGGGCTATGTCTGTTGTTTTTAGTAACTGAGGGACGACCCTCTCCATAGGATGGAAAAGGCTCGTGATAGGGGCTTCTTGCAGTTCTTGATGAACACAGAGTTCCATGAGTCTGGCCCTGGGGCAGAGTGCATGGGCATGTCATTTATCGCCTGTTCGAAGTCATTTGGCGTCAGGATAACATCGGATAGGCTTGTGTTAATCAAATTTTGTGGCTCTCTCATAAAAAATTCATTTTGATCTTCGACTCTCAGTCTGGTTAGCGGCTTGCTAAAAACTGAGTCATATTGGGACTTGAGTAGCTCACTCATTTCCTTGCTGTCATCTGTGTAGGACCCATCTTGTTTAAGTAGGGGCCCAATACTGGACGTTGTTCTCGATTTTGATTTGGCATAGGAGAAGAAATACTTTGGGTTTCTTTCGATTTCATTTATGGCTTTTAGTTCTTCCCGCGATTCCTGACTCCTAAAGGATTCTTTTAGCTTAAGTTCGATGCTTGCTATTTCTCTGACCAGTGTCTCCCTGCGCATTTCAGATATATTGACCTCTTTTAGCCGCTCTGTTATTCTTTTCCGTCGCCTGTAAAGGGAGCGCCTGTCTCTTTCTATTTTACATCTACTCCTCCTTTTTCTTAGAGGAATAAGCCTTGTGCATACATCGAGTGCCACCGAGTTAATCTGTTCTAGGCATAAGTTTGGGTCTGTGTTGCTTAGTATATCTTCCCAGCTTATATCGGTTAGGACTTAGAGTAAATACTACTCACCTTTTGCCCTACATTAAGACTACAAATATTTTGAGGTAAATAATGAGTGCACTGTGTGTGTATTTGACTTTTTAATGCCTAGTTCTGTTGCTAACTTAATATATGTTAGTGTAAACTTGTTATCTGGCAGTTATATGCATTTATAAATGGAAAAAATGGAGTTCTGCTTTCCAGCTAAGTTTGCTTTCCGGCAGTAGCCTGGAATCTAACCTGCTGAATAAGTGGATCCCTGCTGTATATGCATGTACATGCAGTGTAGTGTGACCTAAGTGAAGTAGAAGTAACGACATTCCTGGTATCCCGCGTGTTTATGAGACAAAGAAAAACACCAGCAATCCTCTGTTTCACACTAAATTGGTAGGACGGCAGTGCCTCCCTGGGTGGTTGCTGTCTACCAACCTACTACCTAGATTGGCAAATTTTATGTTCAAAATACAGAAACTTTGAGCAATGAAGATGAGGTTGTCAGTAGCCATGTGGAATGTTATAATTTTGGTTTGTTTGTTAGCTTCCTCTTGTCTCACAATATACCTCTAGCTTCCACCTGCCTCACAACATGCCTCTAGCTTCCACCTGCCTCAGTACCTCTAGCTTCCACCTTCCTAAAGACCTGGTGGCAGACAGGTATAGTAGTAGCTGCCTGCAACTCCAGCTGCTATAATACATTGCATTTTTTAATTAACCCTTTGAGGGTTTGTACCAAAGTACTATGGTTTTGAAGCCTGGGTCGATCCCATAGTTCTATGCCATGAGCTCAGCTCACTCAGATAAGCTGTGAGCAGTAAATTTGGGTCTATGCAGTAAGTGTGCACCATATAAAAAATAATTCCTCAGGCAAGCAGTGCATAATTAAAAAAAACTGCGACCGTGTTTTCGGTTTAAAACAGCGACTTTGTGGTCTGTTTTCATATGGTTTTTATTGTTGTGTTCTTGGTTTCTTGGTCTCATATGATAGAATGGAAGATATATTACAGAAAAATAGAAATCAATCAAGTTTATTCTCTATAGGATTACAATGTGGGGTTTACAGATTTTGGTTATTGTGTGGTTTACATGTAATAAAATACTAATTACAGAGGCCACTAGGACACCTAGCATGGCTAGGCATTTCGGGCAGACTTCGATTAATTCTTAACGAATTAAACTCGTAAGTCAAAGTACCACTGTACGTCACTCATCCAATACACGTTCAACTGGTCAGTTTAATATGTGTCCACAAATGTGCTGACATTATACAATTTTTACAATAATGCGGTAGTCTGCATAACAGTAAATCTTTTATTTTTTTGTGTGAATAAAAATTCAAAATGGAAAGCAAGCATAATAGAAGTCTGAGAACGTGAGTGATGAGCAGAGGAAGTGTTGATTTAGTGCCAGGAATGTCTACATTGTTTATTTTGGATCCTGTTTTAAAATTGGCAATTTTTTAATTTTATATGAAATTAGCCAAATTACTGATTTCTGATCATTTTATTGGGTAGTTGAATTAGGTAAATAGGTGGTTTCTTATATTCAATCGATAGAATAGAAGGAATACTAGAGAAATAGCTATGAGTTTGGTTGACTTGAACAATGGAATTGGCTGAAAATAGGGTTCAAAGTGGGCGAAATTGCCAATGCTTATATATCGCTGAGACGGCTAACTTTGCGAGAGTGTAATTCTGTAAGTTTTTCCATCAAATTTCATACTTTTGGTTTCATTTTTTTTTTTTAAATTCTCCGACCCTTAGAGCAAGTTTCAGATCAGGGGGTCCAGCCCTTAGGAAGATGGGATAATCCACATCCTGTCATGCATTAATGTGCCTTGTTTTTCTGTCTTGTCGTCCAAGCTATTAATTTTGGGCCAGGCACAGTACCTGTTTTGGGTTGGTGCATTGCCATAAATTCAAAAGCAGTGGTATATTTTTATATTTTAAATGTGCTCATTAGATTTCCTACACTCAAATTTTTTTTAACTTCTATACCTTTTGAACATCAAAGTTTATGAAGTTAGAACAGTATTAAAAAGAGATACTTTCTGAAACATAAACCTAAATCTGAAAAAAAAATTAATTATGATGACAATCTTTGCCATGTTTCAGCAGAATGAGTTGTCTTAACCCTTTGACTGTTTTGGTCGTATATATACGTCTTACGAGCCACCGTTTTTAACATATATTGTATACTCATAAATTCTAGCGGCTTCAAATCAGGCAGGAGAAAGCTGGTAGGCCCACATGTGAGAGAATGGGTCTGTGTGGTCAGTGTGCACCATATAAAAAAAATCTTGCAGCACGCAGTGCATAATGAGAAAAAGAAAACTCCGACCGTTTTTTTAATTAAAATACCGACTTTGTGGTCTATTTTCGTATAGTATTTATGGTTGTATTCTCTTTTTCTTGGTCTCATTTGATAGAATGGAAAACATATTATAGAAATACTGTAGAGGTGATTTTGATTGGTTTTACTATGAAAAGAACCTGGAAATGGAGCTCAAAGTAGGGGAAATGTTTGATTTTTGCCGATGTTCAAAAGTATACAAATGATGTCTTTTTCCAATAAATGTCCAAGTAGCCATTCTAATATGCAGTCGTGAATGGGTTGGCATTATTTATAGAGTTATTACAATATTGCAGTAGTCTGCATAACAGTAAATTTTCTATTTTTTGTTTGAATAAAAATTCAAAATAGAAAGCAAGAGTAATATCAGAGGGGCCTGGAGACGTGACTGATGAACAGAGAAAATGGTATTTTAGAGCCAGGGATGTCTGCATTGTTCATTCTGGACCCTATTTTCAAATTGTCATATTTTTTAATTTTCGTGAAATTGGCCAAATTGCAAATTTCTGACCACGTTAATGGGTAGTTAAAATCGGTAAATGGGCAGTTTCTTGTACTCAGTCGATAGAAAAAATAGAGTTCTAAAGAAATAGCTATGAGTTTGGTCGACTGGAACAATGGAATTAGCCGAAAATAGGTCTCAAAGTGGGCGAAATCGCAGATTCGTAAATATCACCGAGGTCGCTAACTTCGCGAGAGCGTAATTCCATCAGTTTTCCATCAACTTTCGTTCTTTTGGTGTCATTACAATCGGGAAATGATTCTCTATCATTTCATAAGAAAAAATAATTTTTTTTTTTTTTTTTTTTAGATTTTGTGACACCAGGAGACACCTCAGGATTTGGGGTTGCGACAGTCAAGGGGTTAAATAAATATATTTGTGTGACCTTAAGAAATTTAAGGCAGAATATTTCCCTGGGAGTTCTGATTTCTTTCTGAAAAAGTCAAACCTCTTTACCATTGTTCTTGTAACCTGAAATCCAGGAACCAAACTTGAGCAAGCTTTGCTGTACTATAATGTTACCTCACCTAGCAGCCAGTTGTCCAGGACTGCAGGTCCTATACTAATAGGCTACATCTATAGTCTACATTTAATTTTATGCACAGCATGTCAAATGCAAATTAAAATTATTTGTAGATATATGATAGATTCAGTGGGTTATTAAGTAATTTTCCAAAGTTAAAAATTTATATATTACATCATAACCAGTGATCTATTACCCCCTCCCCTTTAAGAAATATATAGTGACAGTCATTTTTATATATCAGAAATTTTAGCAAGACCAAGTCAGATTCCTATGTAGTATTAATTCTTGTTAAATTAAAAAGGCTTATAAATTTGTATAACTTTTCACTGTTTTCCTTCGAGTGTGAATCTTCAGGTGATGTAGTATGCACTATTGTCTTTGACTGCAAGTTATACCTACATAATATTCCTACTTATTTCTTCAGGGAAATGATATCCTGAAATCTATGATAGTATTTATTATACTATTGCAGTTTGTATACAATGAATGACCCTTACAGGTTTAGCACTTTCCATGAATATTATGATACTGTACAACTTTTATGTTTTTTCCCTGCACAGAAGATTGCAAAGCAGACATCAAGACTGAAATTAAGACTGAAGTAAAAGTGGAGGTGAAAACCGAGCCAGTCTCTCAGCCTCCTGCACAGCGCACGGCCAAGCCTCCCCCTGAAAAGAGACAACGCACTGGACCGTAGTTCATGTGTAGGTTATTCTTCAATGTTTATGAAGCAATGCACACACATTACACATGTAACCATTTTGATTAATGGTATTAGTAAGACAAATGTGGCAACAATCTTTATTCGTACATAGCTAAAACTTATGAAATATCATTAATGTTGTAAAAACATGTGGGAGTGTTAACTACAGTGAAAAAATCTAGTGTTGGTATTGTCCTGTGTGAGACAGTGACAGTCTGTTACAGCAGTGTCTGGTCATAGTGTTCTGGCAGTGTATCACAATGAGAGATTTCAAAGAGAAAGGAGGCATCATAAAATGTATTTGTTTTAAAAGAAACAGCAGATTATGCTCTTCAATTGAGGTTCATTGATGTCATTGAGGGGCTCTTGATCCTGACCTCCAATTCCTTGGATTAAATCCAAGTGTTCTATGACCTCAGTGATCCCCATGTAAATGTAATAACAGCACTGTGTGAATGATGCTTCTGCAAAACTTTAATATTGGAAGACATATTAGCTAATACATGCATTAATATTCTGTGGCTTTCATGCACAGAGAAACCATCAATTGTAACATACAAGTGTCATAATGAACAACTGTTAGTGAATAAGTGAGTATACAGGGACATGAACAGTGGTCATGACTGGTAGCAGAACCAGCACTGTACTGCTGGCCAGTGGGGCTTACAATTGGGAAGATATCACAGACAGCACTGTTGTATCTCAAGCAGTGGCCACCATCTGTGACTGAATGGTCCTTTCCCACATTTCTAGAAGCCCTCATAGTACATCTATTCTCACATCCCTCAGACCCATATATTCAATAAACTCTAGGATATCTTGTGTTCGTAGAATATTCAGCTTTAAGGGGCATGAGAACGGATGTCCTGGGAAAGCTCCTGGGGCTGTGGTTAGAAGAAGTTGGGTCATAGACAGTGGCCATTGATTCAGACATAACACAATAATGAACTTTCCTTATTGTAATCCTCACAGCCCAGTGGTAAAGCTCTAATCCTGTTACCAGTCAGGACTCCAATTTAAATCCCCGTCCATTCTTCAGTTTAAACACCACCTTCATCAAAGGTGGGGAGGATATAATGTGGGTTATGGTGTCTCATTTGAAGATGCTTCATCCATCAGGGACTATCAGTTCACACTGAGACAAGTAACACGTTATGTAGTAGTTAAAGAGAAGTCAGTTTTTGGCAGGTTCAACTTTGTTTAACCCTTTGAGGGTCCGTCCCGTAGATCTACGGCTTTACGTTCAGGGTCCAAACCGTAGATCTACGTCATGAGCTGAGCTCACTCTGATAAACTGTGAGTGGTACATTTGGGCCTAGATATGAGAGAATACATCTATGTGGTATGTGTGCACCACATAAAACAGATCCTGCAGCACGCTGTGTATAATGAGAGAAAAAAACTGAAATCATGATTTTTCGATTAAAACAGCGACTTTGCAGTGTTTTTTCGTATGTTTTTTATAGTTCTATTTGCAATTTCTTGGTCTCATTTGATAGAATGGAAGACATATTACAGAAATTGAGATGATTTTGATTGGTTTTAGCACTGGAAATGGCTTGAAACTGAGCTCAAAGTAGCAGAAATGTTAAATTTTTGCCGATATTCAAGAGAAAACAAACGACCTCACACATCTAATACATGTCAGCTGGTGGGTCTGATATGCATTCACAAATATGGTGATGATATTTATACAATTATTACAGTATTGCATAACAGTAAATCTTCTATTTTTTGGTGTGAATAAAAATTCATTATGTGAATAAAAAATCAAAATGGAATTTATTTGTAAAGCCTCAAAACATAACTAATGAACAGAGGAAATGTTAGTTTAGTTTCAGGAATACCTACATTGTTTATTCTGGACCCTATTTTGAAATTGGAATATTTTGAACTTTGTGTTAAATTGGCCAAATTAACAATTTCTGATCACTTTAATTTGTAGTTGAAACAGTTGACTTGGCGATTTCTTGTGCTCAATCGATAGAATGGAAGTAATACTAGTGAAATAGCTTAGAATTTGGTTGACTGGAATAATGTAATTGGCCTAAAATGGGAGTCAAAGTCGGCAAAATCGCCGATTCGTAAATATCGCTGACACATCAAAATTCGCGAGAGCATAATTTCGTCAATTTTCCATCAAATTTCGTACTTTTTTGTTTTATTACCTTCACAAAAAGATTCTCTACCATTTCATAAGAAAAAATAACAATTTTTTTTTTTTTAAATTCTTGGACACTGGGGCACCACTTCAGATTTGGGCCTTGGACCCTGAAGGGGTTAAACCCCAGGGTTATTGAAAGACTCAGAGATTTGTGAAATGGTATTTGTAGTGGTGATAAACCTTTTCACTGTCCAGATCCCCAAAATTAAAAGTGCTGTGTTTACATTTTAGGAAAAAAAATCTGAAATGGTAGAATCTTTTTCTGACAATAATGACACTTAAAAAATATGAAATTTGATGGAAAACTGATAGGCTTACACAAACACAAAGTTAGCAGTCTGGGTGCAATTTTATGCATTGGCAGTTTTGCCCACTTTGACCTACTTCAAGCCAATGCCATTGCTCAGTTTGACAAAATTCATACTATTTCAGTAGTAAGTCTTCCAGTCTGTTGATTGAGCACAAGAAACTCCCCATTCAAATACACTAAACTATCTTATAAAGTGAACAGAAGTTAAAAATTGACTCATTTTTATACAAAATTAAAAAAATTTGTTTTACCCTTTCATTGTCTGTGTAGTAGTACTATGCCATGAGCCCAGCTCACTCACATAAGCTGTGAGCAGTAAATTTGGGTTTAGATATGAGAGAATGGGTCTATGTGATAAGTGTGCACCATGTAAAAAAAAATCCTGCAACACACACTGCATAATGAGAGGAAAAAACTGCAACCATATTTTTGGTTTAAAACAGTGACTTGGAGGTGAATTTTTGTATGGTTTTTATGGTTGTATTCTTGGTTTCTTGGTCTCATTTCATAGAATGGAAGATATATTACAGAAATAGATATGATTTTGATCGGTTTCAGGAATGAAAATAGCTTGAAAGTGAACTCAAAGTGGCAGAAATGTTCGATTTTTGCTGATATTAAAGAGTAAACAAATCACATCACCCATCCAATGCATATCCAGCTGGTGGGCCTAATATGCATTTACAAATGTGATAATTTTAGTTATACAATTATTACAATATTGCATAAAAATAAATTTTCTATTTTTTTGCGTGAATAAAAAATTCAAAATGTAATTCATGTGTAAAGCCTGGGAATGTAACTAACGAACAGAGGAAATATTATTTTAGCGCTAGGAATGCCTGTATTGTTTAGTCTGGACTCTATTTTGAAATTTGTGTGAAATTGGCCAAATTACCAATTTCTGATCACTTTATTGAGTAGTTGAAATAGTTGATTGGGCAGCTTCTTATGCTCAGTTGATAAAATGGAAGACATACTAGCAAAATAGCTAAGAATTTGGTCAATTGGAACAGTGTAATTGGCCTAAAATAGGACTCAAAGTGAGCAAAAATTGCTGATGCCTAAATATTGTTGACACAGCAAAATTTGCAAAAGCATAATTTCATCAGTTTTCCATCAAATTTCATACTTTTGGTTTCATTACCTTCAGAAAAAGATTCTGCTTTTTTTTATATTTTAAAGTCTTAAAGATAAAGCAACTCTCAGATCAGAGGTCTGGACAATGAAAGTGTTAAAAAGTCCAAAATAAACACACATATTTCAGGCTCTAAAACATTTCCTGTCATCAGTCACATCTCCTATATATTGACACTTTCCTTCCATTTTGAGTTCACAAAAAAAATTAAAGTTACCCTATTTCTCAGATAATAAGATATAACTAGGAATGATTGGTCATGGTTTATGGCATCCCAGTAATTTAGCAGACTGGAAGGGGGGTATGAAAATTGGCAAAATCAAATCTTTCCACTAATTTTGAGCCCAATTTTTCTCTCCAAGGAGGGCTCCTTGTAGTGCTGAAGAGGCTTTTGGTCTGAGTAATTGGACGTTTCAGTCTTCTGTGCACTTAAGTAATGAACACTATATTATTAGTACAACAAATGATCTAGTTTCTTACAATACTCTTAATGTTTCCACTTTACTGTATAACATTAAAGGTTAAAACAAATCAGTAAGGAGACTTACCAGAGTCCAGTATGTCTTCCCTCCCTCTAGATCCATCCTATGATGTAGAGGATCATCATTGAACAACTTTGTATGTGTGCATGTGTGTGGTCTCATACCCAGCCATTTGTATTATTATTATTATTATCAAAAAGAAGCGCTAAACCACAAGGGCTATACAGCGCTGCAGGGCAGGAAGGAAGCGGGGTTATCAGGTGGCAAAAGGGAGAGGGATAATTAGTAGCTTACGGAGAACAGCGGGGCAGTGGATAGTGTAGGGGTAGAGGGTAGCAGGGGATTGAGGTAGAAAGGGCTGAGGGGAGTGCAAAAGGTATTGTCATCAGAGTTTGTGGAGTAAGTCAGTTGTTGTCCCAGCCATTTGTAGGCTTGAACTTGGGCCACCAGGCAGCAGCATGAGGCCTAAGCAGCACGAGCGCGACATATGAAATCTGACAGCAGTTACAGCCATAAAGAAACTCAAAGTTCTCGTTTGATAAGAGATTGTAATGCATCTATTAATAATAGTTGTTTGCAAGTCACAAAAAAGCTGATGCAACTGTACATTTTTCTTCTATTTCATCTGCGTGTTTTATAATAGTACAGTGGACCCCCGACATTCAAAGGCATCAACATTCGATGCATTTTAATGCAAAAATTTCGCCTCGACATTCGATGGAAAACCCGACATTCGATACGATTCGTACGAGACGTGTCCACGTGTGGCCTGAACTGCCCCGTGTGTGCCAGTGTTTACAAGCCAGCCAGTGTGCGCGCATCTAAGGATACATTCGGTACATTCCATATTATCCATATTATCACTGTGTTTGGTGCTTGTTTCTGCAAAATAAGTAACCATGGGCCCCAAGAAAGCTTCTAGTGCCAACCCTTCGAGAAAAAAGGTGCTAATGACTATTGAAATGAAGAAAGAGATAATTGCAAAGTACGAAAGTGGAGTGCGTGTGTCGGAGTGCATGATGATTTGGTAAAGAAATTGCCTGCAACTAGTGGTGATGTGAGTGAAGTTAAGGCCAGCAAAGGTTGGTTTGAAAGATTTAAGAATCGTAGTGGCATACTCAGTGTGGTAAGGCATGGTGAGGCTGCCAGTTCAAGTCCTAATGGAAGGGGATTCCCCTTCTAAACACTAACACCATCCACACTCTCCCCTCCTCCCATCCCATCAATCATCACCAGATCTTCATTAAAGGTAAGTGTCAATTATTCTATTGTTATTGTAATTATTCTATTGCATTAAACTTAATATTTCATGTGGTAAATTTTTTTTTTCATACTTTTGGGTGTCTTGCACGGATTAATTTGATTTCCATTATTTCTCATGGGGAAAATTAATTCGACTTTCAATATTTTCGACATTCGATGGCTCTCAGGAACGGATTAGTATCGAATGTCGAGGGTCCACTGTATTACGTACTGTAGATTCATGCATTCCAACATCTGTTCCAATTTTAGTAAGCGGGGTGCACAGCAAATTTATACTAATTGAATTTTGACTTATATTAAATAAGGCTTAGTATCATTGTATAATTCGTACTAAATCAAATTTCACACTATTCAAATTCTTACTAATCAAGGCTTTGCTGCACACATTATGACTCAATCCCTCCCCACACACACACACACACACACACAGTCAACCCTGTCAAATGCAAAGTTGTGAAGAGTGGGGAAGGGCAAAGAAGATCGCAGAGTATAGGCTAGGTGGCCAAAGACTGCAAACCTTGCTCAAGGAGAAAGATCTTGGGGCGAGTATAACACCGAGCACGTCTCCGGAAGTACACCTCAACCAGATAACTGCTGCAGCATATGGGCGCATGGCAAACCTGAGAACAGCATTCCGATACCTTAATGGGGAATAGTTCAAGATGCTGTACACTGTGTACTTTCTCTAATTTCCTTACGTGCTTGGCTAGGTGTGGGTTCCAAACTGGTGCTGCATACTCCAATATAGGCATGGTGTCACAGTGTACAGGATCCTGAACAATTCGTTTTTGAGATGTCGGAATGCTATCCTTAGGTTTGCTAGGCGCTAACATGCTGCAGCATTTAAGTGGTTGATATGCGCCTCAAGAGATGTGCATGGTGTTATACTCACCCCAAGATCCTTGTCCTTGAGTGAGGTTTGTATTCTGTGGCTCCCTAGACTGTCTGCAGTCTTCTTTGCACTTCCCCAATCTTCATGACTTTATACTTGGTGGGGTTGAACTCCAGGAGGCAGTTTCTGGACCAGGCCTGCAGCCTGTCCAGATACCTTTGTAGTTCTGCTTGGTCCTCATCCGATTGAATCCTTCTCATCAACTTCACATCATATGTAAACAAGGACACTTCTGAGTCTATTCCTTCCATTATGTCATTCACATATGCTTAGAAACAGCACTTAGCGCTTCTTTTTGATTATAATAATAATTAGAAACAGCACTGGTCCTAGGACTGACCCCAGTGGAACCCTGCTTGCCACAGACTCACTTTAACACCTCGCCACATACCATGACTCGCTGATGACTTCCGGACAGATATTCCCTGATCCATTGCAGTGCCTTCTGTGTTATACCTGCCTGTGTGTAACTGTGTCAAAAGCCTTCTTACAGTCCAAGAAAATGTAGTCTACTCACCCCTCTATCTCGTCTTACTGCTGTCATAGAACTCCAGTAGGTTTGTAACGCAGGATTTCCCAGCCCTAAAACCATGCTGGTTGTCGTTAAGCTCATTTTTTCTAGGTGCTCCACCACTCTTCTTATAATCTTCTCCATGATTTAGCATATACATGTCAGTGATACTGGTCTGTAGTTTAATGCTTTATGTCTGTTTCCTTTTTTTTTATAAATTGGGACTATATATTTGCTGTCTTCCATACCTCAGGTTCTTGCCCTGTTTTGATAAAGTGTTGAAGATTGTTGTTAGTGGTACACACAGCACCTCTGCTATATGTACCACTAACATTCTAGGCAAAAAAAAAAAAAAATTTGTATAGATTCATGTTTATTATGAAACTTTAAAAATACTGTAGAAGTTTTTGAACACAGCTGACAAGAAGTAATGTTATAAAAAAATCACTTAAAATTAGCTGTTTATAAAAGCTTATCAATGTTTACTTATTAAAAGTAAAATTTTATCAGAGATAATCCTCATATATACATCTATCTATGTTGCAGTAAGATCACAGTAAACAGGTGATATCACAATATGCAGAACAACCACTGTGAAAAGAATAGTGAACTTTCAAGTGCATTGTGATATCTCACATTATCAAGGAAATGTTCCTTGATACTGTGAGAAATCATAATAGGGCTTGGAAGTTCCCTTTTCTTTTATTTTGACAGCGGTGCTTCTGTACATCTGTCTATATATGTTCCCAGTTAACTTTATATACTGTAAATTTGTCTATATACATAATTACCTAATCACTAATGAGATCATTATTATTATAAAAAAGAAGTACTACTAATGAGATCATATGCATTTGTTTGTTTTCATTTAAGTAATCACTAATGAGATCATACATTGTAGGAAACACTGAACCTTAATTAAAGCAGTCAAGATGAACACTACATTCAATTCTTATTACAATCAAAAAGAAGTGCTAAGCCTACAAGGGTCTCAAGTATTTCAAACTTCTTACTTGTAAGGCTTATAATCTGTAGTATTATTGACTCTCATGCTGGCTATAGGCTGTATAAACCTAGTGAACTACCTATTCGTATCTTAATTGCAGACTAAGAGTAACATTTTTATAGTATCGGGATTTTGATCAGAAATTTTCTGTACTGTTCGAGTTTTTCTCAGTGTTCAGACATCAAACCACAAGGTATTTAATTTCAATATAGCCAAACCTACCAATGTACATACTAGCCAATAAATATATTCATAATACCATTACATTATTATTGCCATATTATTATTATTAGTAGTATTATTATTATCAAAAAGAAGCGCTAAGCCAAGTAGTAGTAGTAAACTACTGAGGAAACACTAAGCTAGTAAGAGTCGAATTCCTTGCATCAAGAGCCCTTCACTGGCATCAAGTAACCTCCCTTGAAGGTAAACTGAAAGTACTCAGAACCAAGAGTTGCTCCTGTGCTCAATATAACCAACAAAGCTTATAGATCATTATCTCGTGTGAAGGAGAAAAGGAATAACATTAACAGGTCGAGAATTAAGTGATAAGCGATTTACAGATCATCCAATGGTACGAGTATTTTCTTAGTCAGGAAAAATGTCTGCTGATGCATATGATAGTCATTTGATGACCTGCTTTGTGATTAAGCAACTGCTGGAGTACCTTGTTGAGTATCCACATCACTTAAAAAAGAAAGGATCACATTTAGTCCTATTAATGTTGAGATGGAGGCTATTTTAATGAAGTCTATGTTATATTTCAGAAAAACATCTTGCCTCCTTAGGTTATTAAGGGTACAGTCTGTCCCAACACAAACAGCAGATACTCTGTGTATATCAGTGATGTACACAACTATATGTTATATTTTTTCTCCTTACTGGACTTTTTACTGATATGTGAAAGGCTTTTCATACTGTTTTCACAATATTCTTCTACTAAAGCTACTATGGAATCTAAGGAAGAAGTATTTT